ATCAACTGAAAAAAAATGTCCTGTTTGCCTATCATTATCTTTTTATGCCTTTAATAATCTTCCATTATGCTGGATGACTTTTAAGGAGAGATTTATACTGTATCTCAAGGAAATGGACAGTAGTTTTTGAACATATAGAAAATAAAAAAACATGGAAATAAAAGCAAACGAACAATAATTGGAAGTGAATAAAACTGTTTTGTTCCTTATCCAAACCTGCCACACATTGCGAATGACAATATAGGACGTTAGACAGTAATGATATATATTTTTTTCTATAATAAAACTGATCCGAAAACGAGTGATGTCGACACAGCTCCTTGCATCAGTACATATTACTTTACCTATTCAAATCAGAACACTTAAAAAAAGACGCCAAAAAATGTCAACATTTTTATTATTATTATTATTATTGATTTCGTTTTAATCGCGTGTGCGTTTCATCACTGTGTTCGGACGCTTTGCTTCCACCAGGACCCCCGGCGATGCTGCGACGTCACATGCCAAACATTCGGACGATGGTGACGTCACAGGCATCATGGCACACTCACGTCATCACTTCTGAATCCTGACTTAGAAATCACTTTTCTCGGCCAATTATTCTGTTTGGCCAAAATCACCGCAGCTCAAGTGTAGCCAACACGATTTGTGGTTAAGTGTTATTACAGGCTGTTATTGAATAGCGCCGTGACATATATTTTTTGTATCGCATTCTGTATAACATAGCTCATGACTGTTGTGTGTGGGTGTGTTGTATACTATATATGTGTATATAGTATTTAATGTGTGTATGTAATGTATTTAATGTATATATAATATATATAACGACAATTTAGATCACAAAATCGTCTGTTGCTAACACTTTTTCCGTGGCATAACTGCACATACCTAAATTAATCCCAGAATTTTGAACAGGAAATGTTCAAAAAAATAAATTAACGAAATAAAGCAATTTGCCCCATTTAACTGACTGTATACCTAAGCTACCCCTTAAATAAAATACTAAACGCACTTTGAGTATATATGCAAAAAAAAATATTAAGAAATTCCATGAGAGGAACAGAATCTCACCGGAGGAAGAAATGCCACAGGTCCTTTTCACATCGTAACATCTGCAGGTATTACAAATCTACCTACATTTTTTCCCCTTTATTATCCATCTACCTTTTAATCTAACCTGTCGGATCTACCTATTTCGTGTAGACACCCGGCTTGCTGTAGGTCTGGTGTAGCTTGTCGAAGTGACCGGGGTTATGGGGGGAGTTGAAGATAAACATGTTCGAGGGACGACCGTTGAAGAACCAGGGACCAGACAACCACGTAATTGGACTCGGTTTCTTGGTAGGCAGAGGTCGTACGGGCTTCGCGGTAGTCGTCGTGGGTGCTGGAGTAGTAGTAGTCGTAGTAGTCGTAGTGGTAGTAGTAGGAGTAGTAGTCGTACTGGTCGAAGAAGGTTTGAAATGGTAGATGCTCGATGGTTTGCCGTTGTTGACGAAATCGATATCTGGACGAATGAAGTTGTAGGAGTTGCTGTTCGGGGAGACGTAGCCGAGGCCAGGGACGAACACGTAGGGATTCGGAGGCAGGCGGATGTAGAAGATGGGAGAGTTGGTCACGGGTTGAGACAGTTTCTGAGGGGCGGCCGTGACCTGGGGCTTCTGCAGGAAAGAGAGCAGGGACGGCTTCTTGGTCACGGAGACGACGGGAGGCTGCGAGGGAAGGCAATGGGGAGAATGAGACACGGTTTTGGTATTGCTTTTGGTATCATTATTGTCATTGACAATACTATTCTTTTATCTTTATCTTGGCAAAAGTAAGAGTAGTATTATTATTATCATCATTATTATCATTATTGTTTTGTTATTATAATTATTGTTATTATTATTATTATTTGTATTATTATTATTATTATTATTATTATTATATATTACTATTATTATTATTATTATTATTATTATTATTATCATTATTATTATCATTATTGTTATTATCATTATTACCATTATCATTATCATTATCTTCATCATTATCATTATGGTTATTGTTACAATTATTACTATCATCATCGTCATCATTATTATCATTACAATCATTAATGTTGTCATTATCGCTATTGTTATTACTATCACTTCTATTATCATTATTATCTCTTATTCTTTTATATATAAGAATAATAATATTAAAATAAAAGGGAGAAAGAAAAAAACTATAATTTTAACACCCCCGCCCCCCCCCCCCAAAAAAAAAAAAAAAAAAAAACACGACCACGTATCGTACCTTCATCGTCGTCGTCTTCGTCGTCACCTTCTGCGCACTGGATGCCTCTTTCACCGCCTCCTTCAGGACGTTCGAGGGCGTCTTCTGGCCGCCGGATCCTCTAATGAGCGCCCCTCGGATGCCACTCCTGGAGGCGGGGAAGAGGCGGCCGAAGGAGAAGGCGAAGGCGCCCCCATTCCCGAAGGCGCAGAGGGCGATCGCCACTAGCAGCGTCAGAGTTTGCCTGAGGAAGGGGGCGGGGCTTAGTATATATATATGGGATAGGGGGGAGGGAGGGGTTGTTATTGTTTTTGTTTTTTTAATTCATTTTTGTTGTTATTGTTTTGCTTTTGTTTTTTTTCAGTTTTGTTGCTATTGTTGTTTATGTTTGTTTTTGTTGTTGTTGTATGTTGTGGTGCGTTCTTGTTTTTTTTTTATATAGATTTCTGCATATATACATTCCCAATCATCATTTATTCACTCACTTACTCACTCATTTATTCACTCGCTCGCTCACTCACTCACTCTCTAGCTCACTCAAGCATACACTCACACAAGTATACATTCACAAAGAGGAGAAAAAATATTCATATAAAGAAATCACACGAGATTACCTCACACAAAAAAAGAAAAAAAAACGAAAAAAAGCACACAAAAAATAACAAATGACAAGAAATAACAAACTATATCACCTTCCATCTCATTTTTCATATCCCACTCTCTCTCAAAAAAAAAACTATCACCCTTTTTCATCCCCCTCCCCCTTTTCATATCTTTTCGTCCCTTTTTTTTCTTCCTTTCCTATCTCCATTCATCTCTCTCTTCTCCTTAGTCACGAAAAACCAGTAGCAGACACACCAACAAAAGAGGAAGATGTGTTGGCGAAAACTTTTTTTTTTCTTACAAGTCGAAGATGACAGGCAGGAAAGGGAGGTAAATTGCTGGAGAGGGGGGGTCTATTGATGGAGGGGGTGGGGGGAGAAGAGGGGGGGGAGGTGGGGGAGAGGGGGTGGGGTGGGGGAGGGAGGGGAAGGTGGGTGATAGTGGGGGAGGGGAAGGTGGGGTAGTGGTGGGGGAGGGAGAGGTGGTGGGGGGTGGTGGGGGAAGAAGAAGGGAAGAAGGGAGAGAAAACAGGAGGGGGGAGGTGGAAGGGGAAAGAAAAGGGGGAGGGGGAAGAGATAGAAAACAGGAAGGGGAGGTGGAAGTGGAGGGGAGGGTGGAAGAAGGAGAGAGGGAGGAGAAGGTGGTGGTGGAGGGGGAGGTGGTGGAGTGAGAGAGGGAGGTGGAGGGGGAGGGGGAAGATAAGGTGGGAGTAGTGGTGGAGGTGGTGGTGGAGAAGGAAGAGGAGGTAGAAGTGGGGGGGGGGGCATAGAGGGGAAGGAGAAGTGGAGGGGTGGAGGGGGAGGGGAGGAGAGTGGAGGGGGAAGAGGAGGTGGAGGGGGAAGAGGAGGTGGAGGGGGGAGTGATAGTGGAGATGGTGGTGGAAAAGTTGAAGAAGGTGGAGATGGAGGAAGATAGAAAGAGAACTTATACAAAGGAGAAGAAAACAAAAGGAAGATATATAGAAAAAAATGAGAAAAAAAGAACAAAAGAATAAACAAGAAGAATCGTCATTGAATATCATTGATGAAAATGAAAGAACAGAATAATAGATATGGACTGTTTGATTTACTTTCGCTCACTCATTATTTGCTGTTGTTGCTCTCTCTCTCTCTCTCTCTCTCTCTCTCTCTCTCTCTCTCTCTCTCTCTCTCTCTCTCTCTCTCTCTCTCTCTCTCTCTCTCTCTCTTTCTCTCTCTTTCTCTCTCCGTCTGTCTTGAAATCTAAGCATTGTGTGACTGAAAGAAAAACAAAAATCACTGAGAACCGCGAGCGAAACAAAACGAAAGAACGAAATGACCGAAGACGCGCTAATTTATTCTCCGTCAAATCACACCCCTATTGAATGCTCTCCATTTATCACGTCTCAGTCTTCCCGTCCGCTACTGTGACAGCGCCATGGATAGTGGTGATCCTTTACGCTCTCTCTCTCCCGCTCTCCTCTCCCCTCTCCCCGCCCCATCTGGACTCCTCTCCCCCCTCTCCCCGCCCCTCTTGACTCTCTCCCCCCTCTTCGACCGTGTCTCTACCGTCTCTCCGCCTCCCGCCCTTCCCTCTCTCTCTTACTTTCCCCGCCTCCCCTCTCTCCCCACTCTCTACCGTCTCTCCGCCTTCCCCCCCCCCCTCTTTCTTACTTTTCCCCCCCTCTCCCCTTCTCTGTACCCTTTTCGAGCTGACTTCCCTCACCACCCTCTCTCTTTCTCTCTTGTACCTTTCACCGGCCTGCTTCCCCTTCTCCTCCTCTTGCTCTATTACCACTCCTTCTCTTTCTCCTCCACCTCTATGCTCTCCCATCTTTCTTCCTTTTCATTTTCTCTCCTCCCATTCCCTTTATACTCTCCTTCTTCCTTCCCCTCCATCTACGCCCTTCCGTCTCACTTCCCTCCTCTCCCGTCTCCCCTATGATCTTCCATCTAATATGCTTCCCTTCCCCTTCCCTTCCTTCCTCTCCCTTCTACACTTCCCATCTCGCCTCTTTCCCTCCCTTCTTCTTTACACTCTCTCCTCCCCCCTTTCCTCCTCACTTCACTCCCCTCTCCTCTCCTCCCCCCTCTATACTCACATACCCCCTTCCCGTTCCCTCTTCCCCACCTCCCCCTTTGATCTTTCCCCTCCTTTCCCCTCCTCTCCCTTTTTTCCTGCTGTCGCATCCTATCTCCTATCTCCCCCAACCCCCTCCTCTTCAACCCCCTCCCCTTAACCCCTCCCCTAAACCCCTCAACCCCCCCTCTCAACCCCTCAACCCCCCCCCCTCTCAACCCCCTCCCCTCAACCCCCTCCCCTCAATCCCCCTCACCCCCTACCTCGCGAAGGTTAATGACAGCTTCTCTTTACACACCAGATGACTTGATCACCCCACCCTATTGTTAATTAATTCATGGGGGGTTTGTGTCCTTCTCCCTCTCCCCCCCACCTCTTTCTCCCCCTCTATCTGTCTTCTCCTCTCCTTTCTCCTCCTCCTCCTTTCCTTACGCATTCCTCCTCCTCCATCCTTCCCCCTCTCTCTTCCTCCTTCCCCCTTCCCCTCCACCTCCCTCCTTCCTTCTTTTCCTCCCCTTCCTCCCTCCCCTTCCCTCACCTCCCTTCTTTTCCCCTCCTATCCCTCCCCCTTCCACTCCCCCTTCTCCTCCCCCCTTCCCCCTCAATCCTCCTTCCTTCCTTCCCCTCCCCCCTCCCTCCTCCCCATCCATCCTCCTTCCCTCCCTCCTCCTCCCCTCCTCCCCTCCTCCCCCTCCTCCCCCTCCTCACTCCCTAGGACGCTGATGACGAACTCGAGGAACCGCAAGGGAATCATCTCAGCGTATTTAGTTGTCATCGTCTCGGTCTGGTGGCTGACCGCGAGAGGAGAAGGAGAGAGAGAGAGGAAGAGAGAGAGAGAGAGAGAAAGGGAGAAGGAAGACAGAGAGAGAGAAAGGGAGAAGGAAGACAGAGAGAGAGAAAGGGAGAAGGAAGACAGGGAGAGAGAGTGAGGAAGGGAGAGAGAGAGAGAGAAAGGGAGAAGGAAGGCAGAGAGAGAGAAAGGGAGAAGGAAGGCAGAGAAAGAGGAAGGGGGTTGGGGAGAGACGGCGTGAAAGAGAGAGAGGGGGGAGAAGAGAGAGAGTGAGGAATGGATAGAGAGAGAGAAAGGGAGAAGGACGACAGAGAGAGAGAAAGGGAGAAGGAAGGCAGAGAGAGAGAAAGGGAGAAGGACGACAGAGAGAGAGAAAGGGTGTTGGGGGAGAGACGGCGTGAAAGAGAGAGAGAGAGGGAGAGGGGAGAAAGAGAGAGAGAGAGAAAGAGAGAGAGAGAGGGAGAGGGGAGAAAGAGAGAGAGAGAGAAAGAGAGACAGAGAGAGAAGGAAAATGAATAAAGGGAGGAGGGGTCACGAAGCAAGAGAGGAGTGAAAAAGGGAAGGGAATTGTGTGTGTGCGTATGTGCGTGTGTGTGTGTGTATGTACGTATATATACATATTTTCTCTTCATAACTTACCATCTCTTCACATCCCTAAAGATAAACGGAAACCATAACAAACGAAAATACAAGAACATATCCACCCAATCAATATAATATAATCGAACTCCTTTGATAATAAAACAATATAACGAATAAAAAAAAAAAACGCAATAAAACCTTTTCTTTACGAGGCTGTCTCGGAAGCGATCAGTAGTCTCCTTTTAGAAGATGATCCTCAATTAAGCTTAATTGAATTAGATTTTTGATTAACTCGTCTGGCCGTTGGTGATGCTGCTACTGTTAGGAAAGATCTGTGAGTTGGCATGATTTTTTTTTCTCTCTCTCTTTATCTTTTTATTGTCTCTATCTGTCTGTTTATTTATCTATCTGTCTGTCTATCTGTTTGTCTGTCTATCTTTCTGGCTGGCTATTGATCTATTTGCTCTCTGTCTCTCTCTATCTATTTTCCCTTTCTTTATCTCTCTCTCTCTCTCTCTCTCTCTCTCTCTCTCTCTCTCTCTCTCTCTCTCTCTCTCTCTCTCTCTCTCTCTCTCTCTCTCTCTCTCTCTCTCTCTCTCTCTCTCTCTCTCTCTCTCTCCCCCCTCCCCTCTCCTCTCTCTCCTCTCTCTCTCTCTCTCTCTCTCTCTCTCTCTCTCTCTCTCTCTCTCTCTCTCTCTCTCTCTCTCTCTCTCTCTCTCTCTCTCTCTCTCTCTCTCTCTCTCTCTCTCTCTCTTCCCCCCCTCTCCCCCCCCCCCTCTCTCTCTCTCTCTCTCTCTCTCTCTCTCTCTCTCTCTAACGTATCCATTCCTCTCCAGCTGATGGCCTTTTGAAACTGAAAGTCACAAACAATGACATGACAGAAAATTTGCATATCATATCTCTCTCCTCCGGTCAGTAGGAAGAGGAAGGAAGAACGGTATGGGAACAAGAATATAAAATGGTTAATAGCTGCTAATGGGAAATTTACATAATAATTATATTAACAATAATTATAACCCAGAAGATTAAATTCACGTGAGAGAATATGACCGATTAACATCCCTAATACTACTTCTCTCTCATTATTTTTTATCACTTTCCTTTACTTATCAGTTTATCATCACCTATTTATTTTGTTTATCATTTTTCTCTACCTATTACAGTTTATCATCACCGATTTTCTCTATCTATCGCCTTCCTTCACTTATCATAGTTTATCATCACCTATTTTC